AGCAGACATGCTAGTAAGAAGATTTGCCAATTCAGACTTAAGTCTCTGCACACAATCTCACTTGTTCAGTTTGGAGGGATAATAACAGTGTTACTTTTATTGAGCCCTGGAGTTAGATTACTCATCTTTCACATAAATAAATAGAAACTCATTTTTTTTAAATGTGTATAATTATAGCATCTGAGTCAGGATAACCTCACTGGGCGGCAGTGGCTCGGTCTGCAGGGACTTGGTCTTGCAACCGAAGGTCACCGGCAGCCTCTCTGCTCTGCCACCTCTCCTATCTGCTGGCTGTTGTGTGTGTGCATGTATGTCCTCTGTGTGTGTGTGTGCATGTATATCCTCTGTGTGTGTGCATGTATATCCTCTGTGTGTGTGTGTGTGTGTGTGTGTGTGTGTGTGTGCATGTATATCCTCTGTGTGTGTGTGTGTGCATGTATATCCTCTGTGTGTGTGTGTGCATGTATATCCTCCCCTGTGTGTGTAATGTGTGTAACACAACAGAAAGACATTTCCCTGTAAGGGATGAATAAAGTATATCTTCTTCTTCTTCTGTCACATACTCACATTAGCCGAGCATTGGTCAGTTGCTTTTTACATTGGGTTTTAATGTTACTACCACTTTTGTCCTCCAAGACTTTTGCCAGGAATATCACAAGCTAATATTTACAACTAAAAGAGTCAAATGAAACTAGAATATTAAAATGAGCCTCGGGACAGCAGCATGTACAACGACAGTGTGAAACAGCAATCGCTGGGGTCCTATTCAGTGTGCAGACCATTTATTGTCCGGTTGCATTGTGCACCAAGTTACTGCAATCAGCACTTAGCACAATACTGATTCATCACAAAGCTACAAATCAGTCTACCATGCAGTCTGTGCGCAGCCCTCCACCAAAGAAGCGCCAACACATTCCTGGCTCCAGCTGCCTTTAGGCCCACAGAGGAACATCGGAGCAAATACAAACAAATGATAAAACTTCTGTGCTGCTGTTTTCTTTCTGTCACACTCTGATTTTCTGATGTGTGATTGTGCTTCCTAGAAGAAAAAAAGTGAACTGCATACCACTGTGAATCCAAAAGATAGGTTGCAACATGCCCAATTAAGAAAACAAGGGAGAAGGGGATTCTTAGAAAAGAAAAACTGAACATACTATTCAATACAACACTTGTTCAGCCAAGTACAAGAGGCCCAGACGCATCATGTCAATCTCCAGCTTTTCTAAGAACTCTCCCTGCTAACGTCTCCTTTAGACTGCTCTCTTCCTTCCGGTAGACCTTTTCTCAAATGTCCAACTCAAGCTAAATGTTCCATACAGTAAGTCTATGGCACAAATATATGATGATTTAATCAAAAAGAAAATCCTTTACTCATAATGAAAAGGGCAGTTTATTTACAAAGAATAATCTGCTTTTGCAACATACTAAAGTCATATTCACCAGAGAGGTTTAAAATTAATGATTGAATTGTTAGTAGTGTAATGCACTTTTACATAAGAACTGAAAACATGATAAGCCTCAGACTCAGAAAAAGGTGAGGATGAAACTTGATGGCATCAAATCATTCCTTAAACAAGACTGAGCATGTAAGGTTGAACCATGTGAGAGCACGTACAAATAACAACCACTTATTCACACCTTTATCTCCAACGCTCTCAGACTGGCTGCTCAACAGTTTCGCACGCAAACATTTTAACCATGTAGAGCCATCATCAAGTTGACTTTCAAAACTGAGAAAAGTCTGACTTTATAGTTTTGAATTTCTGTCCGTTGAATTGATCAAACTTGTTTTGAAACAGTTGAACATTTAGGAGAAACTCTGCCTTTTTCAAATCACTTCTATGTTTCTGTATACATCAAATAGGAAAATGAGTCGACTTGAGGTCTGGGTTTCAATCTCCGAGTTCCTTTTTCTTGGCGGGCCTTAACACATCTATATTCTCTCAACTGAGAGGCCCAGAGAGGGAGCAACAGTTTAATGTTTAAAAAAGGCTGAGAGCTGGAATCAGGCGGAATAGTTTCCCAGCCTGGTCCTCTTCTCTCTCTCCCTCACCCTCTCCACATCTGCTGCACTCATGTAAACCCCTGTGGCTCGGAGAGGAGAGGCCCCTCCATTCTCCACCTCTTTCCCCCCTTCCAGAGCTGACTGTAGGAACTATCAAAACATTAAAAAAAAGGGAGAAGGGGGAGGCGGAAGGAAAAAAAAAAGCTAAGGAGTAGGCGGAAGGGAGTGAGATCCCTTGGTGGTGGGTTATAAATCACAAACACTCTGGGAGCAACAAGAGCCCAGCCTCCTCGCAGAGCCCCTCTTCAAAGCCCCCTTGAGTCCCCCCCCCCCTAACGCCTGCATCGACCACTTTGCCTATCCCACAGCCCCGTTCCATCCCTGATCCTTTTGCACACCATCCCTCACACGGACCCTTTAGCAAGCACAGGCCCCTTCTCTCCCCCCCACACAACCTAGGGGCCAACACTTCTCTCCCCCCCCCCCGCTCCCTGTGTCCTCCCACAGCTCAGGCACACAGAGACTTTTCTTCTCCCCGGTGCTACAATTCACACTCGCTCCAGGCTCAGCGCTGCCACTCAACCACAACACAGCACATTTAAACACAATGCCCCCTTCATACGCTCCTCAGCTCAGCCTGCGCAAACCACAGCAAAGAATTCTCACAATCGCACCACAAAGCGCAGAAACTGGAACCTGGCAGATACAGCTGCTCTTTAGGTGGAGCAGACCAAGCCTTTAAGCGCACATTGGTGTAAGCCGCAGCGTCTTTAAAAAGATGCACGTTTTTTTAATTGCAGCATCATAGTTGTGGCGTGAGCAGTATCCTGATTCAGATTTTCAAAAAGGGTCATTTATATGCAATAGATTTTTAAACGCACGGATACTTGAGCGCAAACGGCTGAATACAGCTTACTTACATCTCTTGCCAACAATCAAGAAACTACAGTACAGGCAATAATTGGTGCTTCTATATGCCACGTCAAACCCTTAGCAAGTTATACTGCATTAAGGAAGTGCATGATTAGACTTATTTGCCCTCTCACACCAAGTGAAATATTGTCATTCATCTCTTTGTGTCTGCTTAAACTCTGCGCACTGCATTCTGCACGTCAGGAATGTACGAAAACAGCATTTTAAAAAATGAAGTTGTTTCATTTGAGTTGTTTATTGTAAAAATTCTTTGTAAATAAGTTTTTGGAAAATGTGGGTTTACGAGTAGTTTAGTTTTAGAGCTAAAGCCCTGTTTTTCTATGAACTTGCCAAGTAAATCATAACACAACCCTTGGAACATTTTTGATGATCAGTTAACAAACTAAAACAAAAGTAAACAAGACAACTTGAAAAAGATCTAGGAAACCTTTTTTCAGCCTTTGATGAAGCTAGCCACAAAACTGTGGTTTCCCAGGCTTTCAGAAGAAAATTTTGTCCTAATGACGGGTAATATAGTGATTCGTATCGTCGTCTCTACACGATAAGGGAAAATATAAGCCCCAAAAGATGGTGGCTTCTTTTGGAGAAACGTACGATGATTACCAGCTGTAACATATGCCGATATGCTCTGGTTTATACTGAATCAAACGCCATGTTGACCCTGGGAATTGAGCGTGGTAACATCCAGTGCCAGCTGTACGCTCTGGGCAGAGCCACTTGTTGTCAAAGACATGCAGTTTGTTCTGCAGTTCAAATCGTGTTCTTGACACTTTGTTAACCCAAAATCCGGTTTATGTTGTTGTTGCTTCTGTTTTTCAATCACAAAATATATTTTGGGGGTCCATTGATGACATGGTGCCGATGGGCCTTCACTGTTATCTTTTGTGACCAAATGTTCATGTCACAGAGAAAAAAAAACTAAACGCTTTAGCTGAAAGCGAGAAGTACACAAAGTTGAAAAACAATGCAAGAAAGGGTTTACACCAAATTGCAAAACATGCCAATAATGGAGCTCCACACCCAAGACAAGGGAAAAAAATGAGGCTTTTTTTTTAGATCCCGCAGTTTGAGTATACTGATTATTGCCACAAAAACAAATAAACTCCTGAATGTATACCACGTTGTAGCCAGTAAATTTCAAAAAACTTCAAAGTAAGCAGTGTAGGGTTTGAAAGGTGAAAAGTTGGGAAAAGACACTGAAAAGGCGCCTGAATAGTTGTTCTACTTAGCATTTTTTATTGTTTTGCAGAAGTAGAATAGGGGCTTAAGACTAAACCCCATAGAACCAATGATAGCTGAATGGTAAATATCAACTGAAAACAAAAAATCTGGGGGGAAAAAAAAATTTCCGGCAACAATCTTGATAACTAATTATCAAATTTCAAAGTGAAAGACCAAACAATAACCAATAAAGAAGTGTGTAAAAATCATAATGAAGAAAATGTTGTGGTTGCGCAGCTCTATTACCTCATTCACACCAACGCAACTCCGGTTCAAGCTCCGTGCTAGAGCTTTTCAGGTTCAGAACCGGTTCTTCGGTTTAGCTCCGGCTCTTTTCACACCGCCCAGAGTCCGACTGGTGCTGCGTCATTGCGTCATCGTTTGCGTCATGACGTAACCGTTTACGTGCCTGCTTCATAAAGCCAAACCGCGCGAAAACCCCTCACAGCTCACACCGACAACAACAATGGCCGATTGTGTTGAAGCGCTACTCGTTTTGGTTTTGCTCTGTCGAAACGAAAAGGGACGACTTTACTACCAACTTTACAGTCGTTACATGCTACATTCAAAACTGCTTTACAATCGTAATCATCATCTTCAACGACGATTCCGATTCCCCCTGCCCCCGCCTCGACGTAAGCGTGACGTATGCGGTGCTTTTACTCTGGCCGGACAATTTTTTGGTGCTTGAAACGAACCGGATTCCGGAGCTAAGAGGCGGCTCCGCTGCGGTGTGAACAGGAAAACCCGGTGCTTTTCAAGCTCAAGCTCCGAACCGGCCCTGAAACACCGTTGGTGTGAATGAGGTATATGTGGAAAAGTGCTGTGCTGTTAAACTCACCTTGCTCTGAGTCGCAGTCCCCCCCCACCCTGAAGACGCCTGGAGCTTCAGGTAGGGGTCTGAGGGGCCGTGGCTTGGGGGTGGGAGGAGAGATCCACTTCTTTCCGACGAACTCGACATATGTCCCAGGGAAGTCCCCCTTTTCCTGAGTGGTTTCATTGAAGCCTGGCAGCCAGCCAATCTCATCTGGCCTCTGTTCCAGTCCATCAGTGTACCCAAGGGCCACCAGGGCTCCTTTGCTTACCAACAGGATGTCCCCCACATGCAGACTGATGTCCTCCTCCCTCTCCTTCTTGTAGTCATAAAGCGCTCTGTACTGATATCCTTCAGCACTCATATTGATCTCTTTGTGTCAAGAAGTGCTTTCGAAGATTCAACCAGAAATGTTACTTTTCAGGTTTCTCTAAGTATGTGTTCAGTCCAGGTACACATTTGCTTGTACAAATAGTTGTATGAGTATACATTTACCAATACCAAGAAAACGTTGGTTGTTCTTGGGAGACAACACTATCTAGCTTGTCTTCATTCTTTCAAAGTTCCTGTCTCTTCTGAATGATTTGCATCTCTCTTGGAGTGGCACCTCACAGTATGTATCCATCAGTACATGGCCTGCAGCTGCAATCCTCAGAATACTATCCAGACCTATAAAGTGAGAGTGGAGGCCATTTGTAACACATTGCATATGACAATTACAGTATGTAATGCTCAGATGTCATCTAAAATGTACTTAATGAGATATAACACATTTAACTGAGTTCTGCAGGAAAGTTATTGAGGATTGTATTGTGGTGGTAAGAATACTTATCAATCAATCAATCAATCAATGTTTATAAGAGTACTATAATACTTTATAGTTGGCCAAACTTAAATTTTAAGCATACACAACACTTTTAAGAATAGTAGTATTTTACCAGGCTAATATTGTAGCACATACTTAAAATATATTATTATTTTATACTACCTTTGCAACTATAATTTGACACATGGCAAGTTGGTGGCAGATCATACTTGCTTTGAAGAAAAAGGGCAATATTTTTGATGAAGTGAACCATTAAGCCGCCTTTGTTGAATCATGTAGTAATATTGTTTTTTTATGATTTAATGGTGTACAGTATGGTCCCATTGCACTACTAATGATCATCTGAGAACACAATGACTATCCGGCAGTACAATATTTACTGATGCAGACACAAATAGTGATTAGCTTTTTTCTTTAGATGCTGCATTTAACAGTTTCTGGCTTGATGTGTTAACACACATTATCTGTGCTATTCAGCCAACATTTGAGAGCTAATGTTAGCATGATCCGTGACAGCTTAAATTCTCAACGCTGCAATTGTTCTATAACTAGCAGAGGTGGGAGAAGTACTCTCAGATATTTTATTTGTGTAAAAGTAGAAATACCAAAGTGTAGAAATACTCTGTTACAAGTAAAAGTCCTGCACTCAAAATGTTGCTCAAGTAAATGGATTAAGGTATTGGAATCTATATACTTAAATGTACCAAAAGTAAAAGTAGTCATTAATATGTATTATATGTTTTTATTATTATTATTGAAGCGTTAAAGTGTTATCAAAGCTGGTAAAGGTGCAGCTAGTTTTAATGACTTTGTATACTGCAGGATAGCTTGTGAATGTACTCCAGGTGTAACTAAAGTCTGATTTAAGTGTTGATTATATTTCACAATATTTATCAAAAAGTAGTGGAGTACAATACACTTTTACCTATGAGTTGTAGTGGGGTATAACTACAAAGTAGCAACACATTTATATACTCAAGTAAAGTACAAGTCTCTCAAAAATGTACTTGAGTAAATGTACTTAGTTACATTACACCACTGATAATTAATACATAGTAACATCTCTTGGTCAAAAAGCTGCCAGCAAACTTGTGGATTTTGAAAACACAGGGCTGCAAGATATACAAGCAACTTGTGTTTTAAAAGAGTAAAACAGTAACGTTGCAGAAAAAAAATGTCGAGAGAGCAGGATGGTTAACTGTGAGCTAAGTTAGCTAACATGCTAACGTCAGCTTGTTAACACCATCGGCCAGCGTTCATTCTGGAAGATAAGTTTGCTATAAGGTGCCATTGTGAATTACATGTTATTAAAATATGCATGACACCGACAGTAAATTAGGAATTGCATTAGATTAATACTAATGTAACAACATTACAATATTGGAAAAAGCTTTTTCAAGTTAACCCAGAGCTCAAAAGGTAACCTAAGTTTTACCAAACTGGATTAAGGTAAACATACTGATATAACAACTAGCACTTCTTAAAAAACAGCAATTCGTAGTTCGACATTTGCTGTCAAGTGATCGAGCTTGTCGTGAGTAACTACCTACCGAGTCTGCATGGATCCACATGCGATCCGACGATCCTCTTCCACTTCGGTAAACTTAACAGTTTATACGGGATATTATACGAAAGAACGCAACCCTAAACAGATCCTTTATCAGGACGGTTTAAAACATAGAACTTCCACTCGCGTTTAAATCCGGTTTAACAGGCAGAACAAACTGTTACAACCCACAGCTTGTCGACATAACGGCACGGCTCTCCCGTCCTGAACAAAATGCTCCCTTGAACGTCGCCCCTGCTGCCAACAAGTGGCAAGACGGAGCATGGCCTCTGATTGGCCAGCGTCACTGTCAATCATTAACATCAGTCAATCCGACCAGTCAGATTGTCGCTAGTAGGGGAACTCTCCTCCTTCAATGTACCCTCGCACGCAACATGAAACACTATGGAAATTACATAACTTTCTGCACGCAATGTATACTCAAGTCCTTTTGGTTTTTATTATCATCTGTTCTCATACTCGACGGGGATTATTTTCACAGCATCCAAAGCAATAAGAATGAGGGCAATGTAAAGATATCACTTTACAGTGTAAACTATGTGATACACAATCTTTCCAGAGGATATATGAAGAACAACAACTATTGTCGAATAGCCTGCTTCTCCTGTCTTTTTTCTAATTTAATACCATAAACTACAGCTTGTGTGTTACATTATGTGTCAGATAATATCCACAAAGTAGGAAATGAAGCATAAAAAAGTTGTATGTCACACCCAGGAACGCACATAACCACACTCAGTGGTTATTTATCCAGGCTATAGCTCTCCCTTTTTGTGTATTTTTTCATAAATCATTACATGTTCTTAGTGTGGAAGGACCCAGAATCCTATAGTCACTATCTGAGGCACATGACTGTGAATGTGGGTGGCCTAATTATGGTCTGGAAAGAGGGCAGGCTTCTGGCAGAAATCCCCTAGTATAAACCCGGCTTCGCTAAAAGAGGCTGGCAGCTTTGTACAAGGGAAGGCCTCTGGTGTTCTGCAGTCAGATAGGCATCCGTGGCCATCACCAGTGTCAAAAGTGGAAGGAATATAAAATGCAGGAGATAATGTGGTTTTGAAATCAATAGTAAACTAGGAACTTCAAACTGCTGTTCTAGTGCGTTAGGGAACTTTATCAAATGCACTTGATGCATGTCTTTGAGTTATCTTGAACTTTTTTTCACAAGAAAAAGCCCAAATGTTGCAATTTCCCTTCTACTATACTGACCTCACAGTTACAGTTAACTTTGTTTGCATGGACAAAACATTTCATTTTAATCCCTTATGCCAGGCCAAACTGTGTCTAGTAGGTAGTCACTGGATATTATAGTAAAGATTTATATTACTGCTGCAGACGATAGAAGTTAATATTTGAAACGCCTACACTATTTAATTCTTGACTTTGCCAGCACCACACCACACCTCACATCCCAGGCTCTTGTGGCTCAACTGCTTCCCTGCAGATACCAACTACCTCTGAAGGATATCTCACTTGAACCACATAAACGCTTACTGAACCCTGTTTCATATTTTCTAACGGACATTTCAGAGTGACACCTACAACAAAGGCACATCAAACTTCCCATTAACTTTGTTTGCACAGAATATTGCAAAAACAAGCATGTTGTGTTCATACTTGGTGACTAAAGGAACACAAAAATAAAAGGTGGTTAATCTTCAACCACAAGGTTACTCATCAAGTGTTCTTCACTTTCTTTAACAGGTGGACGTCTATATTTAGCATCTGCGTTTTGGTGAAGTCCTGAATCTCAATAATTTCTTAATATTTCTTTGACTCTCAACTGGACACTGGATTTGTTGATGCTTAAAAATATTTTGAATAATACAAAATTGTACAACGTTTCTGGTTGCATCTTCTACTTTAATAAACTACAGCTGATAATAAGTGTCATGACTGAATTAGTACATTTTTGTCCATGGTAACTTAACAGAGTCTACTGATGTTTGATAAACAGATCAGTTTTTTGTTGCGCTTGTCATCTTATCAAGCATGAAAATGACTGGGTCCTCTTCTAAGAAGTTGTTTAAACGATTCAGGCAAGTGGTGTTCATGCTAAGCTAAGCTAAGTTACTGCTAAGTTACTGCTGACTATGAGAGTGCCATTGATTCTCTTATCTAAGTCTTTTACACAGATCCATTTCGTTTCTAATCAGCTGCAGCCTATGTTTCCTTGTAGAAATCCTTGAAATGGTATTTTTTCTCTTGGACTGTTCTAGCACGTCACATGAATTATTCACTAGATGTGAATTATGCACTTTTAGTTGACACATTTCATTGAGCAGTACTTGAGGTCCACCATACTGTCAGACCTCCTCAGCTTTTATCATGCTAATGTTCAAAGTGTGAAGTGCACATGGACCACCTACTGTGCTACAGCATTCCAAAAACAGACGGCAATGGGTCAACAATGCAGAATGATATTGCTAAGGGCTAAAATCCAGCCTCAAGTTAGTGATATACTGTATCTACAAATGTCAAAGGATTACATAAATAGAAAAACCTAAATGTAATGTCTCAGATTATATTACATGTTACAAATGTAATTCTTCAAAGAACTTGCAATGTTTGACTGAGAAGAACATATGCTCAAAATGATATTGAGACTTTTTACTGCTTCTTCATATGGATAACACTTGCAAAAAGTCTCAATATCATTTTGAGCATATGTTCTTCTCAGTCAAACATTGCAAGTTCTTTGAAGAATTACATTTGTAACATGTAATATAATCTGAATCTATCCAAATGGTTATGCTTTAGGGAGTAGAGTGCTGTGTGCTTTCAAACACTGGATTAAAGTAGCAGGTACACTGTATAGTTCCTTTCATGTTACCTCTGGGACCTAAGAATTCATTCTGCGTGGATTGGGCCCCTTAAACCATTAATCTATGCAGTGTTTTCAGGGCTTTCATAATGGCTAACTTTAATGTGCAGAGCTCTCAGGCTCTCAGCATTTTACTCCCCCCCCCTCTCCTATCCCTCTATTCACTGATTCTTTTACTTTTGTGAGCAAGCTGAGAATTCTCACATGGGCAACCCCATAATGCTCACTAACATAGGATGAACTCGTGAAATGCATCACTTCACTTATTTAACTGAAACCAAAAAAAAAGGGAATAGAAGATACTTCCTCCTTATGCTTTGGTTCCACATCGCCACAGGAATACTCTGTAAACTCAGTCACATTCCGCTGTATAGGCACATTTGATTGTTCAGTGTTTTATTATACGTTTCTATTGAAGTGCCCATTATCCTATGAGAGGAATGTGACAAAAACATTCTCAATACCCTCTTGGAATCAACAAAAAGGCAGTCTAAGCGTCCCTGTTTGTCTGCTTATCTGTATTATTGTGTTGCATTGTTGGAGAAGCCTGTGACCTAGATTTTCAACGGCATAATTACTCTGTAGCTATGTTAGTTTGACAATAAAGAACCTTGAACCTTGAACCTCTTCACCGTCTATCGAGCGGAAACATGTATAAGAAGTACTATTTATATAGATTTATCATTGCAGATTTTTCAGCATTCATTCAATATGTTCGGTTTTTGTGGTTATTTATAAAGGCTGATCACATGTTCTAACCGCTAAAATATGACATGCTTCCTTAAATAACTCAACAACACAAATAAGATGTTCTTGAACTTAGAAACGCTAATCAATGTGGGTTTCCCACCCGCCCTGACTCACAAAGAGTAATTCACATTGTCGGGAATAACTCTTCATTAATGCAACATTTATCTGCACTTGATGATTTAATGCCGCTAATCAAAGAGTCAGATTGTATTATACATGGCACAGACTTGCTTGTGTGCTTTTCAGGAACCACATTCCTCTGGTATGAAAGAGCACTTCTCTCTACCGAACCATCTACTCATTAGACGAGACAGACAATGACCTTCTTCTCTGGACTACTCCATAAATCTTTCATTTTCAATATTAGCCACATTAGTGCAAAATTTGTATTTCCTAATTTTAAGACATAAATCTGCAAAATCAAAAAATCTAATGGACCTTATAATGGTGAATGTGTTAGAAAACATCTAATTTACATATCCAGCAGACATGGAGCAACATTAGGATTTGCTTTTGTTGCCTAAGTCGATTAAAGCTCTGTTTTGGTCTTTTTTGAGAAACAAATCTGTCTCTTTAGCGGCTACATTTTCCACCCGCTAGTTGCTAACTTTGTTTCTACAGTTTGGTACTGAGCAAGCAGCGTACAATGTTTTTACTGTGAGATTGAACCAAAACAGCAATGTGGTGTAAAAACCAAAAAATAGGCTGAAAGCAGCACCATATAGATAGAATAGATTCTATCTATATGGCGCTGGCTGAAAGACACTACAAATGTGGAGTTGGTAATCTCTCTCCAGTGCCCTCTCATTTGGGACATTTTACAAAAATGTAAAGTAGATATCAATCTTATCTTACCCTATCCTGGGAAATAATGAACAACTATTCCTTAAATACAAGGTCACCCTAATATTAAATATAACTGTAGGAAATGCACTCAAATGTGCTGTAAACTACCACAATAAAAGTAGGCTGCCACATGTCAGCTGAATACTGCTTCAAAAGTCCAGCAACTTCTGCCTTGCATTAACAAGATGTCTTGGAACAAAGCACTGCAAGGTGATTCATGAATAATGTTGGCAAGCTGTAGTGCAGACTTCTGGGAAATCAGTGATAGAAAGCTGAAAAGTAATCTAAGGTGAATGTTTGGACATTTTTCACCCCTGTGTATTTCTCTGTATTCATTCGGAGGATTATAAATTCTTCTCTTAAATCTTTGCAGCAGCGATCTGGTTAGAGATGTAACTACTTGACCAAAGATCAATTGATAAGTCCATCATTTCTAAAAGGTTTACGACTGACCATCTGCCGGTCCTTATTGGATTTTTAAAGTATATTGTTCCAATTAAAACCTCAATGCTAACTACCATACTTCTGCTAAACTTCTATTTTATCATTGCCATTTCCTCCCTCACACATCTCTCTGCCTATTCCCCTCTCTTGTTAACTCTTGCCTATCTGGAACACTTTTTCAGTCCACATCCCCCCCATCTTGACCGCATGCTGTGGGAGCAAAAGGCACATGTCAAATAAACATAAGAGGGAAAAAATGGGCAAGATTATGTGGAGGTACATCACTGAACAAATCGCCGGCTAACATTACACTGGAGCGCCCGCCCCCCCAGCCCCCCCTCCCCCTGTTTGATGTGCG